CACCTTTCCTTCACAGTTCTCTTGTGCTGCTCTTTCCTCAAAAAATAATGACATTTCCTGAGCTGATTGAAAGCTAAAGAGGAAACAAAAACCAAAAACCAACAGGGAGTTTTAGCTTGTGGCAGACTTGTGCTGCTGGTGCTCGACTATGAACTTGAGCAATGCTACTCCAGTGTCCTCTTGTGAAAGAGTTGGTTATTTTGGTTGCAGGGTCTCTAGCTTCAATTGTTTAGCCTTTTTTGCAGTCTTGTCAGAGTAATACATATTTTTATGTGATAAATTTCATTTTGTTAAGACGAATCACATCAGACGGGATTCTGCGACGAGGTGTCCTTTGCTGCTGCAGTGACGGAGAACGACAACAGCCCTGTACGTGATGGCAGACCAATAACAGCTGATTTAAACTGTGGCAGATCCGGCAGCCTTTCCTGATCATAATGGCTAAGACAAATGCATGTCTAGGAGCCAGTCGACTCAGGTCAATAATCATTGTTTATTGCCTTCATTACACGAAAACAACAAATGCTAATAAAATTGATCCCCTTGCTGGTGAGTGGAATTCAGCTGAGAAAATATCCCAGGTTGTAAAGTTCCTTGAGCTTTTGTTTCAGGATAAATACTTTAATTTAATTTTTTTTATCCCGGAATCACAATCAAATTCAGGTATCGATCATCAGCTGTGTGGAATTAGATGTTTTACTGTTAGATGAAGAAAACAGCAGAAAAAAAGAATAAGAGAGGAGGGAGAGCAGCTGCACAGATAGAACCAAAATGACTGTTTGGGATTCATTTCAATACAACTAATATCAGCAGCGAGATGGGCCTGGAAAGCCCGTGCCCATGGACAAAACACGGCATGCACGGACTAATTCCAAACCATTTCCAGAGCTGAGCTCTTGCCTGCAGTGTTGCAAGGAGAGGCGTGACCAGGATGAGACTAGCCTTCTACAAGTGGCTTTGAATGCTAATAGGCTCGCAAATGGGTCAGGGGGAGCTACATGGGAACTAACTAAGGTGAAGTAACCAAGTTAGCTCCAATCAGAAGCCACAGAGGTCAGGTATCTGGCTGGCTGCAGACGTGGAGCAGGGGTACTTTTTTAGCTTGTAGGTGTGCAGCTTTGTGCAAGTGGGTCAGTATGAGAGGACAGAAATTGGGTGGAGGGCATCTAAAATATCTTTACTAGTAACAACGACTCACCTAATCGATTGCCTGTCTCTTTTTTAGAACAATTTTTGATTCATCATCTGTTGAACGTGTTTAAATGTCAGATTTTTTTTAACAGAACATGGGTTTTTTTTTTGCCAATAAAGGAACTAAATAATTATTTTTGCAAGTGATTCTTGCTGTTCCCACTGAAAGTCCATTTTCAGGCCACGAGTCTGTTTTTGTGATAACACCGCCATCTCCTGGTGAAGTCTGGCTGATGTTTCCCAACAGAAAAACAAACAAGAAGCTTTGCTCAGTACTGTACTGTAGTTCATAACATTTGCACCACTGCTTAATCAAGCAGATAATGAGCAATAAGACTGGAGGCTATTTGTGTGTTTCTGTCAAAACTCATGAGAGAGGGTTCAAGTATAAATATCTATGCCTGGCAAACAGATCAATGGCGATTAAAAAGGTCAAGGGCACGCCAAGATGGATGCTGGCTGTATGTATTGATGCGTTCCGACCACAGTAATGAATTACAAACACACACACGCTTTCAGACAGGAGACCAAATGATTGGGATTAATTCATTGATCGTGCTTAATCTGTCATAATTAATTCCATAGGAGCAAGTGTGATGAGAGTGAGTCTCCGTTAAACAGATAAATTATTCAATGTGAGGATGAGGTGGAGCCAAGACAAATGAGCTTGGGGGGCTAAGCAGCAGTCAGGGGCTGAGGCTAATTACAATCTTTTCTTGGAAATCAGCATAGGTTACTTACAGTTAGACTTGTTCAGACACAAGGAGTGGAGGCTTGAGCTACTGAAGGTGTTTGTCAAAATGCCTGAGGTTTTTTTTTTCAGGCGGCTTTAAAATTAAAGCTCTGCGAAGGATCACGTATCACCCGCCATAAAATCCAGTTATGTTGAGATCTGATGGAGTTATGATTGTTCTGATCAGCTTTTGAACCCTCTTTAAAAATAAATCATTATGGAGCCACATATAAAAATTATGAGGGCTCCTGGGCAGGAGGCAGGAGGTTCTAAACATTAAATGGCAATTTTTTCCTAAAAATGGTCTCAATATCTTGGCTGTTCCTAGAAACCCGGTCCATAAAAGGTATGAACAGAATTGGTGACAAAGGGCAGCCTTGGTGGAGTCCAACTCTCGCCAGAAACGAGCCGGGTTACTACTGGGGACCTAACAGCCCGTCTTGAAGGGTCTGGTACCACCCACAGAGCCCTCTGAGGGATGTGGTCGAACACCTTTCCCAAATCCACTAAACACACGCAGATTGGTTGGGTGAACTCCCACGCACCCTCCAGGACCCTCCTAAGGGTATAGAGCTAATCCAGTACTCCACGGCTAGGATGAAAACCACATTGCTCCTCCTGAACCTGAGGTTCAATCATCCGACAGACCCTCCTCTCCAGAACCCCTTAGCAGGGAGGCTCAGGAGTGTAATCCCCCTGTAGTTGGAACACATCCCTGCGGTCCACCTCGGTCTGCCAATCCATTGGAAATTCCCCTGATGTCCATGCGGTACTGTCAACCAACACAGCTCACAACCTCCAGAGCCTTAAGGAACTCCAAGCAGATCTCATCCACCCCCAGGGCCTTGCCACTGAGAAGAGTTTTGACCACCTCAGTGACCTCGTACCCAAAGATTGGAGGGTCTAACCCAAAGTCCCCAAACTCTGCTCCCTCACTGGAAGACGTGCCGGTGGGATTAGGAAGCGCTTCGAAGTACACCACCCATCAGTCCACAAAGTTGTGAGTCGAGGTCAGCAGCACAAGGTCCCCTCTGTAAACAGAGTTGGTAGCGTTCCGTTTTCCCCTCCTGAGACCAGAATCTCCTGTAAGTCATCTGGAAGTTCTGCTCCATGGTCTCACCGAAGTCCTCTTTTGCTTGTAAGACCACCAGAGCCGTATTGTTTCAACTACCTGTATCAATCAGCTGCCTCTGGAGTCCCACAGGCCAAAAAGACCAGAAAAGACTATTTCTTTTGTGTGATGCAATTCTAACTCCAACTGCTAGGGGGCAGTAGCTTTTTTTTCTGACAGAACGAGATCTCCCAATAAAACTGGCTGCATCTTGGGTCCAGTCCCAATACTCGCAATGCACCCTACGGTCTTCAGCAATGTGCACTTGGAGATAGTGCGCAGTAAGTCTTCGAGTGCGTGGTACACAAGTGTGCAAATAATAGCCGAATAGAGACAGGGAGAATTGCATCATCGATCACAACGCATGCCGGGTTGCTGGTCACTGTGACACTTAAAAAAAAAGTTTACAACTTTCAAACAATTTGCATTCGTTGCTGCGTTGTCTAAAAGTCTTAGAGCATCACCCGGGCTCGCGATTGGCTGCATGTTTAGACGACGTGAAGGGCTGGCTGGCATCCAACTTCTTAAAGTTAAATGAAAGGAAGACTGAGTCTATTGTTTTTGACCCCCGCAACCATCATGGCTCTCACCCTGTTTGTGACCTTTTAACCTTCAACCCCAAACAGTGCGTGACAAGTCTCGGGGTAAAGCTGGATGCTGAACTCTCAATGACCCCACAGATAAACTCCGTAGTGAGGTCTTGCTTTTATCCGCGTCGCCGCCTTACTCGCCTCAGACAAATCTTGAAACGGAGGCATTTGGAGTCAGTCATCCATGCCTTCATTACCTCTCGCCTGGACTATGCAAACGCCCTCCTCGTTGGTGCTCCGGTCTCTGCCCTGAATCGGCTGCAGGTCGTTCAGAACGCTGCTGCCAGGTTCTTGACGAGTACACACCGAAGTAGCCATATTACCCCTGTCCTGGCACATCTTCACTGGCTCTCTTGTCATTTTCAGAGTACAGTTTAAGTTATTGGCTTTTGTATTTAAATCACTCAACGACCTGGCACCTCCCTATCTCTCTGACCTGCTCACTCCCTACGTACCCACTCGCACATCGAGGTCGGCTGACCTCCTGCTGCTGTGCACGCCCCGGACGCGATACAAATCATGGGGTGAACAAGCATTTGTACACGCTGCCCTGCCCCAAAGCTGTGTAACTCGTTACCCATTAAAGTCCGGCAGGCTCCATCATTGGTGGTTTTTAAATCTTTTAAAGACCCACTTCTATGATGTGGCTTTTAGACAGTGACTCGTTTTGGTTTTATTGTGTTATTGTTTTAATGTGTTCTTAGTTTTCCTCATGTTTTATCTGCTTTTGATCGGTATTTTTATCTTCTGTTTAAGATTGGTTGTGTTTTGGTTTAGCCTGTGCAGCACTTTGGGCAGCTCCCATGCTGCGTTTTAAATGTGCTATATGAATAAATTACGGTATGGTATCAACTAATCGTCCTAAAATAAACTACTTTCATTAGAAAATACATATGTTCAGAAAAAGAACTTGAGCCTGTTCCCCTGCAGCAATGGCTTGTGGGTAATACCCTTCACCTACATGTTCTGATGCAGACTTGGGTGAAGGGTGGATCAAGGGCGCAAAAGGGGCGTGGTCAACTTCCGCACTTGAAATTCGGGACACTCTACACACTCGCACCCCTGGTAGGGATCGCGTAAGTGTGGAAGTGCGAGTATTGGGATTGGGCCTTGGAAGCATCTAGCTTGTTTTCTGATTAATTTCAGTCTTAAAAATTGCAATATGTGGCTTTCAGTATTGCAATACATCATATTGTCTTCCCTGTATTGGGATATTTAATTGAATCTTGCCAGAACACACCCCGTGGTTTTAGGTGTACTTTTCACACGAAGGTTAATTCAAACATCACTGATCGTGTCCACAGGATTGTATTTTAATCATTTCCCGATGACACAGTTGTAGCAGGCACAGGATAAGACATATTAGGCTCTGATGTTTACGGTGTTTGAATTTTTTATTTTTAAAAGATTACAAAGAAATTCTCCATTTTGAATCAAACGCGTCACAAATTTTATGTAACCTTTACATTCCTAAATATTAGGAAACTCACAAGTCATTCTGGGTATTTCAATACAGCAAAATTTCTTGTTTCTTAGTTTGTAAATTTGAATGTTTGAAAAGCTTTTTTCTCTTTAACTGAAGCGCATCAGCTTTGATTTCCCCGCTTTGCAAATCAGTGATTTTTTTTTTTTCACACGTGGGTCTCAGAAGAATAAAAGAAAGAAAAAGCTAAAGCAGCAGGAGTCCACTGATGCTGGGCATATATCGTAAAGCGCTGCTTTAAACAAACCGCTGGGAGCTTCTCAACCAACACTCACATCTGAGGATGGACATAAAAGATGCAGAAATATAATTAGTTTTTATTTTGGTGTACTTCAGACTTTCTTTTTTAACAAAATGTTTCTTTCATTTCAGTGATCAAAGAGCAGCCTGGAGTCTAGATTCTTTCAGTCAAGGCCAACACGTCGTCTGTTAGAAGAAAGTTTCCCTGCAGAGCGGGCAGGTGGACTTGTTGCTGGAAGTGAACCATTTATACTGCAGAAAGAGGAGAAAACACAGTAAATATGTAGACATAACAAATGTGTGAAGTTTCTTTTGGTCACGTGGCGATGACTCACCAAACAGGCCGAGTGGAACTTCTTCTTGCAGGTGCGGCAAGCTTTCTTAGGCAGGGAGTAGTTCGAGCCGTGGATGACCGAGAAGCAGATCATACAGTCTTCTATTCCCTCGAAGCGCTTGTCAACATTGTTCTTCCACAGCGACAGGCCTTCCATTATGCTTCCATTCTGAACATAAAACAATTCATTTCACTCAAGCCCTTTTATTTCCTAATTCCTTTAAAAAGAATCAAGCACTTTTGGCTTTTTATTTGCACTCTGGGAAAATAAATTAATAAAAAATATGAACCTGGTGGTAGGGCTGGGTATCAAAACTATGTTTATCTGCTATTATTCGCTGCTAAATTTCAGTACTTCCCCAATAAAGCTTCCCTGTTAATGAGCCACAAAGCTCCGACCCCTTCAGCTGCTGGGGTGCCACTCACACACAGCGCCACCCACCTCTCGTCCTCCCTGCTCCTATATACATGATTAAATGGTTGAATCACCAAGGAAAATACTAAAACGTACTACTACTCTACTACTAATAAGTAGAAGGGACCCAGCTCTTCCCAGACGAATCTGTTTCCAAACTCAGCCCGTTTACTGGAATCACGTTTCTACCTGATGTGTCAGGTAGGTGCTCAGCTGCAGCATCCAGTTCCTCCACTGCTGCACGGCAACGCCCACACGCCTCCCGCTCTCCACCATGATGGAGCCCAGAGGGTAGTTCTGTGGCAGCTGAATCACCAACTCGATGTAGATGTCATCCACAGAGTAGGTAGCTATCACCTCTCGTGCTGCTGAGCGAGCCTTCACCTGGAATCAGGAAGTAAACAAAAACAATGCTGAGCGGGGTTGTTTCACACAGTCAGGTAAATGCTCTACATTGTATTTCTTTGAATTTTGCTTATAAAATATAAGAAAAACTGGGGGAGCGACATGGTTTTTATGGAACTACATATATTTGGTTTTAGGGGATCTCTCTGAAACACATTGTGGTTTCTTTCTAGTGACAAGAAAGCCAGGCCTGCAGTGGCCACTAAGACTGGGCGATCAGTCAGTCCAAAGTTGATGATGGGCCATATATTTGCACACGCAACAATCAACCAATAACCATCCATCCATTATCGTCCACTTATTCAGAGTCAGGTTGTGGGGGCAGCAGCCTAAGCAAGGAGGCCCAGACTTCCCTCTCCCCAGCTACCTGGGCCAGCTCCTCCGGGACAACCCAAGGCGTTCCCTGGCCAGCTGAGAAACATTGTCCCTCTAGCATGTCCTGGGTCTTCCTTTAGGTCTCCACCTGGTTGGACATGCCCAGAAAACCTCACCAGGGAGGTGTCCAGGAGGCATCCTAACTAGATGTCAGCCATCGCAACTGGCTCACCTTGAAGTAATCCTGAAGTATCTCCCACAATTGCTCTTAATCAGTTTGCGGGAACAAACCATGAGGGTTCGTAATACTTGAGATCATTTCTTCAACTAATCGATGCATCAATCAGTAAGTGCCAGTGCCAGAACTAGTTTGATTTCCACATAAGAATAGGGGGCCGTTCTTCTTGCCAATAGCTGACAATTTTGCCTCAGTACGGGGGTAACCCTTTACATGTTGGACTAAGTGATAGGGTTGTAAGAAAATATCAATATGGCAATATATCACAATACTTTTTCCAATATAATATATTATATTGATATTCTAAAGCTGTGTATCTAATTTTTGGAAGAATTTACACGCAAACATTTGTGTATTTTCTTTTCTTTTGGTGCAATTAAAATGCTGACCACTAGTGGGCAGCAGTGTGCAATGGGTTTGGTTTCCACCATTGAAATGTAAATCCCTCTATCATGGTTCAGAAACCACGTTAAACATGTTAAGTATCAGTTTGGACTGCTTATTGAATTTTTCTACAATAAATTCAGTCTAAAAAAATCGCTAATATCGTCTGGCTGAATGTATCGTGATATATTGATTCGTCTCACCTGTATTTCACCAATACACATCCCTACTAAGCGAGATGCCACTCAACAGGACCATTTTATTGGAGGACTTTTATTGGACCCTTGTGGTTGTAAAAAGGTCATTCTGTTTGAGATAGCACTATTCTGTCAATGATGTGAGCCTTTGAACAGTGAGTTAGGCATTATTTAGAATTTCAGAGTGTTTTGACCAAAACTTTTACAGTGTCTAGTTATGGTTGTACCATTGATTGCCTTATAGCATTCTCCTATAATTCTAGAGAGACCGTAGCATTAGCAAAGAGATTTCACTCTGCAGGTCGGTCTAGTCATGCTCCATTGTAGCCTCAGCAGGTCTCCCATTGGCCTGAGCAGTTCTGTGCATCGACTTGGTGGGCGGGATGTTACTGCAACGAAGCGAAATAACTAAGATGGCAGCGGCTCTCTTGAAATGGCTCTGGCATAAACTTTGGACTATTTAGACTTGGGCTTTTCTTTGAGTCAAGAGCAGATAGAAGAACTTGAGTTCTTAGTTAAGAAAAAGGACACATTTGCATTTTCTTCGACAGTGTAGTGGACTGCCCTGTTGACTGACAACCGTAGCAATGAGTACGTTGTTGTCCAATAGCATGGCATGGAGACAATTTGAAAGACAACCATAGATTCTGCCCCACAACCGAGCCCTCCCTATGGGTCATGGCCAGAATATGTATTCACAAATATAGGATGGCTGGCAGACTAATATATCACTGGAATCACAAGAATCCTTTCTAGTGAGTTATATGTATATATACACACAGAAAGAGTATTGCAAAAACTAAACTGGTTAGAAGTGAAAGTGTATGCTGGTCAATCAGCGAGACTAATTTATAGATCACTGCCACCTAGGATTGACTGATTAGTGTTTTGTTTTAGCCTCAAGGGCAACCTGCTGGCTTCATTATCCCATGTAAGTCGCTTTGGACAAAAGTGTCGGCGAAATACAAAAACATAAACATGTTAATCAAATCGGTGAAGGCCCCAGCTTTTCACTGATGGTCCATAAATTAATAGCTCATCCAATCGCTCAACCTTAAACTATCAGATTGTTGTTTTGAGTTGCTGTTAGGGCTGGGCGATACGGCCTAAAATCAATATCACGATATACTGAAGAGTTCACTTCAATAACGATAAATGGATGAGAACTACATGTATGTGCAGGGTTTCCCCCAGGAAATGGGTTAAGCCTGGCAGATTTGCCCCCGGGGGGGGGGGGGGGCTCCGTCCTGCAGCGCTCCTCTGTGAGAGGGGGGGGGGGGGGGGGTTGCACACGTTCCACTGCTGTTTCTCACCAGTATCAGCTGATGGAGGGCTCTAGTTTTGTTGCGCCGTTTGTGTCAGCGGACACGGTCGGGTCGAGGAGGGGGGCGGGGCATGACGCTTAGCCTGATGGGTGGCCAAGCAAAGCCTGGCGGGCCGCCAGGCTTATAAGGTGCTGGGGGAAACCCTGCTGTGCTAAAACAAAAGTTGTCCACTAGATGGGGCTGTCCGGTATATTACACTGAGTCACGTTGCCATGTGACTCAAGGCGGTACAGCTTCTTAAAGTGACACGAATGTTGCCAACCTACACAGTTTTTCATTTCTTTTATTATCGAATTATCGAGAAAAATAACATCTGTTAGAGTCGGAGGTTTCGATAATGATTCAATTTCGATTTTTCGCCCAGCCCTGTTGCTGTCAAAAATTGGTAATTGGCTAAAAATATGTAACTTTATCCAATTAAACAGATCATCACCACCGGTTCCACCAGTCAGGCAAAAAAGTGGCCTTTAACACTCAGTGGTCCAGTTCAGGAAATGTGTTTTTGACCAATCCAAGTCACTGGAAGAACAGTTTTTAAACTATTCATAACTTTTACATCTAAATGTCAACAGAGAGGTTTTATTCAGGCAAAGTGAGGCTCCTTTCTTCACTGGATTTTAAAATATTCCATTGAGAAACATTTAGAGATTTCCATCTGTGAAAGCTGATAAATAAATAAACCTCCTTTAGTGCAGCTAAATGCCAGAATCAGACTTAATGAACTTGATGCTTTCAGCACCAATAAGAGTTTATTTTTATTCAACAGAATCTACTGTTGCTGCATCATTAACCTGCACCTGCGAAGCAGCTGTTGCACCAAATAATTATTCACACCTTTTGTTACAAGCGAGGAAGAAAAGTTCAGCAACTTAAACAAATAAAGCTTCATTTAAAGGATGAAGAGGCTCGACAGCTTGGACAAAAATGAGAAAATCTGGACGAATAGATTTTTTTTAAATAAAGTCGGAGAATCACACACTGTGTTTCTGTTAACCACATTTAAAAGCTGTTTGGCAGGCAGCTCAATCTGCCGTCTTCCATTATTGCATGATGGATTTACCGACTTCCATTGGGTTTAACTTTTTAACGCCTCAACTCCAGAGAACTACCGTTTAGCAGCAGGAACTCATTTGAGTTTAACCACAAGCTGAAGTGTTAGACGTACACATCACAGCGTGTCTGCAGACTTACGGTCATGCTGTCGAACATCTGGGTGCTGTTGTGGACGGAGGAGATCTCCTGGGCTGACAGAACCGGGCTGACGTATCTGCTGGTGAACTTCTCCACAGCCATGCTCACTCTCTTCTCCTGGCCGTTCCACCACAACCGCAACATGGCTGGCAGGTCCTGCACGGTGCTGTAATACACGCTGCACGCCAGGTGGGGGAGCTCCCACTCTACACTCTTAGTCTCTGTATTAAACACAAAAAAAAGTGAAGCTTAAACAGGTTTAAAGGTGAAGATCTGCAGGCAAGAGTTGGATTTTTGCGCACCATCAACTGCCAAAGACAAACTTTCTGTAAAGAAGGTTTTGCCCTCTTTAGACTCCGCCCCCTGTCCTGGATAAACCGGGTTCTCGGGCATCAGTTTGAAGAGATGGAGGAGGAGCTTGTTGAGGGAGCAGCTTCTCTTAAGATACTGAGCATAATGAGCACGCAGCTAAATGTAAAAAAAAAAAGAACATTTTTTGTAAAAACTGCAGTTAAAAAGACTCAAATGTTGCTAGATATCTGATCATGTGACGAACTGCCACTCACATGGGAGGGGGAGGATTTGAAAAACGTGAGCAGCAGCTTCCAGGCCAACAGGTATCCCAGGATGTAGGAGTACTCCACACTGAGGGGCTGGACGACTGCAAACTCTCCCACCTGGACTCCTGTCAGGATATTCTCACACAGCTCCTCGCATGTCGTCAGGACGGCCATGAGCGCAGCTGGAGGAGAGCTGAGGCCCAACGTGCAATGTTACCGCTGCAAAGTAACACAACCAACAACCACGTGTGTGGGAATCCTCCAACTTACAGACACGGCTCATCTCCGTCATCTTCAGACTTGCTGCTGTCTCCTTCTTCGTCACACGAAGGCAGCTGAGGCATGACCCTGCAACAAGCAGACGCGTTGGTTTCGTTTTCATTCCATCCACGAGCCTAGTAATGAACCGGATCCTTACTTTTCCAACATGTGGTGAACGGTGATCTGCAGAGGCCTGGCCTTGAACAGCAGCAGAGGGCACAGAGTGTTGAGGAGCGTCTGCAGAGGCTCTGGCAGGTTCGTCTTTTGGTCCGCTACAAACCGTGGGTGCAAGGAGTTTTGGGTCAGCTGCTGCAGCGGCACATGCGCCAGAGCCAACCCAACGGAATGGAGCACGGCCATGGGGAACAGAAGGTCGTCGGGGTCGCTGAAGACCTCTGAATGTATTTAAATACCAGGAATTAGTAAATGTCGGGGTGAGGAATATGTATAAATCTAGAACACAGCAGTTATAATCCATCCCACCCACACACCAGTGATTTTAACAGGAAGAGGCAGCAGCAGGTTGTACACTCCCTCTATGAAGAAATCTCTCCATTCCCCCGCCAGTTCTGACGGCAGCTTCTCCAATACGTCAGGCGAAGATGATGTGAAGAACTGGTTCAGTGTCACGATCAGGGCAGAGTTCTCACACACAAACAGCTGCACCCAGGGGTTCCACAGGCTGCTCACACTCTCACCGGCAGCCTGAGTTCAGAAGATCAGCATTTTTAAAAACAATGAAATGGGCAACGTGAGGAAAAACGGCATCCTGCTCTGGAGCTGATACGGGTCTCACCTCCAACCAGGCCAACATGGAGCAGAGCAGGAAGTCCCACTGGTTTCCTCCAAGAATCGATGATTTATGAGTCACCAGCCAGGACAAGAATCGCATCATCTCCACGTTAAGGTTCAGCTGTTCAGACGTAGCGTCAGACAGGTCGCTGAGAAACAAAGATTTGTTAATTCAGTCATAAAAACAAACCATGTGAAAACCACCCATCATAACGTCCATCCCATCTCTTACAAACCACCCTCTTCAGAAATAAAACAGCTAATTAGTGTTTTACCAGCTAAAGAGGAACCAGTCCTCCCTGCTGTTCCTCCATTCCATCACCGTGGCCAGGATCGCCTGCACAACCTCGTCCTCCACCGGTGTGTTTGCCTTTAAGCAGCACTGCAGCACCGCCAGACACCCGTACACATCTGCAACACACGGTCCAGATTTGTTCTTCCAATTCATACAAATGTGTCCATGTAACAGAAATGTGCTCATCTTACTGTCATTCTCCTGCCAGTTGATTAATCCGGCCGTGGCCAAGGTGACGAGCGTCTCTCTGTCAGTTCCTGTCATGGCTGGGCAGAGCACCTGAAGTGTGCTCAGTTTGCTCTGAGACACTGGGAACAGACTGCCCACACACATGAGAGGGTTTAGTTTTAATCTGCAGCAGCTCTAACTACTAAAGAGGGTTTGTTTTCTAATAGATGACTGACCTGTCTGAACTACCAAAAAGTCTCCTTAATGCCGCACCATGAGTGGCTGCCAAGTTGTTGGTGCTGATGTAGTCGTCCAGAGTCAGAGACCACAGACCCCCGTCTGTCAAAGACCTAAAGAGAAGAAAACGCCAGAAAATTAGTCTGGAAGTTAGTAATAAAGTAAAAAATGACCATGTGAAACAAAAAAGGTAACATTCTAAACTGTGTACTCAGAAATATGCAAACTCATAAATGTCAGGACACACGCTCACGGCGAGGCGTCCTCCCAGTGTTATGGCCCTTGCCTCTGGAACGAGCTGCCAGAGGAGCTCAGGGCCGCAGAGAACGTTCATGTTTTTAAGTCCAGGCTCAAGACCCATCTATTTAGGTTAGTTTTTGTCTAAATATTTACTACAGTTTTATTCCTCCTTTTACATGATTATATTTTATTACTTGCTTTGCATGTTCTATATGATTATATTTTAGCACAGTTTTATTATTTAATATTATTATTTTACTGTCTATATGATTTTATTTATTACTTATTTTCTAACTTTTGTCATTTATATTAGCTCTTTTATTATATTTTTTCTCATTTTAATCCAGTGTTTCCTCTGTGGGGGCCCTCTGCCCCGGGAGCGGTGGTCGACTGTAGCTTCCTGGGCGCTCTATAGGTGGGGGTCTATGCTCCCCCTCCACTGAGCGCCCTGACTTAGTGTGGAAGACCTGATGCTGCCGGGACAGACGGCTCCTCTGATGGCGTTTCCTTGCCTTACCTTACTGGGCTCATCTGGACTCAGCCAAATATAATTTTTACTTGTGTGTGTGTGTGCGTGTGTGTGTGTGTGCTTGCATATGTCTGTTAATGTTTTTAACATGTTATGGGAACCTGGGGTCATTTTGTAAAGCACTTTGTTTGAAAAGCGCTTTATAAATAAATCTGATTGATTGATGTGTGCTTTCCTTTGACGTTTTATGGATGATTCAAGCCATTTCAAATCGTGAGTGTGTGTGTGTGTGTGTGTGTGTGTGTGTGTGTGTGTGTGTGTGTGTGTGTGTGTGTGTGTGTGTGTGTGTAAGACTAATATTTGTGTGTATATGTGTTAAATATAAAGCGTTTTTGCTGTCGGAGTTTGAAAAACGTCCAGTTTGTGAAAACAGAAGAGGGCACTCCACAACCTGAGCAGATTTCGTCCAAAAACTTCCATAAATGTCCAAATTTGAGGTAGGTTGTGAAATTCAATAAAGTTTATTGATTTGTGTTCCTAATGACATCTCAGAAAGGGTCAAATCCGATTAAAAATGTTGAAGTTGTTAGTACTTTTCAGCACAGCCTGCTTTTATCTCACCAGGTGGAGAGAAAAAACAGAATGAATGTGATTTACAAAAATGTTGTAATGTTTATTTCAGGTTTCCTGTTGTGTGTTTTAAAGGCTGTTGATGAAACAGATGTTTTCCTGTTGTGACACGGGGACTAAGAGACTCCAGCTCTGTTCAGCAAAAAGGAAAACTGTATTTAAAAGAAAAAACATGTTTTAGTTCTAATTGACTCTATTTCCTGAACAGAATTATCAATGAAATAACTTATATTGTAGAGATTTGAACATGTCTGCTTTGCCACAGACCGCTTCCTGACGTTCTAGCCAGCTGAATCACTTCCAGGTTACATCAACGTCTGTGTTCTCGATCGCGTTGTTTAAGCAATTTTTACAGAACCTGCCGAGAAGTACAGCCAACAGGTCCAGGACGTATTTGAGACGCCACATTCAGGTTTTAAATAGTACGAGTCCCCCTACATTCATTATGGTGAGTTAACAAGCTTCTACTTTGGGTTACAAGGAGCTGATACATGCTAGCTCTTTATTAGCCAGTTAGCACAGTTTTGAAGTAACAGTAACAATTAGAGCCCTGCACTGGAGCCCTCAGCCTGGGAGTCAGCCCGGCCCGACGGTCCGAGGGCCAACGACTGTGTAATTACCTCGGACACGGACACGGGCCGGGCGCCTTTATTTTTAATTGAATTAATTTAAAAAAAACTGAAACACTTGAACGCAACAGCACCTGCCTGCTTCTCACGCAGGAAATCCAGCCACTTCATAAAATTGCCATTTTTTTATGGCCAAAGTTCAACCAACTGCGGATGTTTACTCCCGCTGAGAGGACCGACATCCAGCAACATGTGTGAATCCAGATAAACCGCTTCAGAGCGGGGGAGGTTGCTGCAGCGCGTCGGCAGGAGCAGGCTACGGGACAATCAGGTACTTTTGTTTTGTTAGCATACTAATGTAGCTATATATTGGCCTTAATTTGCCGAGTTTTGTTATGATTTTACGCAGATGGTTGAAGCGCAGCAGCTGCTGGTACTGCACCAAAGAGGAGAGCGCTGGAAGAGTTTGAGAACGCGTGGGAAAATGTCAGAGAGGATGAAGTCCAGTTCTACCTCAGCCTCAACCCCAGCATGGGAGCTGATGGAAGGATCTGTGGTCTTCAGTGTCCCGGCCAGCAGTAGCAGCAGCGAGTGCGCTTTTAGCGCAGCTGGAAGAGCGATAGAGGAAAGGAGGACTGGACTTGCCCCTGAAACTGTGGATACCATTCTTTTCCTGCATGATGCCAAATAAACGGTTCCTCTTGTTGTGCTCAGAAAATGGAGGACTTTTGCCACGTTAAGAGGCTCAACTCTTGTTAAACTGGACGTAGGCTGTTCTTAAAGGCTTGTTCTTATAATTTTATTGCCATTTTCATTATGCCATTAAAAGCTCAGTTAAGGTCTGTGTGGTTCATAAATGCGCCTATATCAACAAATTCTCAAGCTGCTGATTGAAACATGCGCCCCTGTTCTAATATGCCATGTTATGTCCACTTTGATGTCAGAAACCTTTCGTTTATTCTCATGAAAACAGCAGCATTCTATTTTTCTGTGAATAAATTCGCTCTGCAGTTAATAAAATACAGCATTCATTGCTGGTTGTTTTCTAACTGCAGAGCGCAGTTTCAGAGCGGCAGATTAAATTTACAAACGCTGTATTAATTGGGGGCGTTTATTTAATCTGCCGCTCTGAAAATGCGCTCTGCAGTTAGAAAATTAGAATGCTGCTTTTTTTTCTAATTGCACAAGAGCGCGTTTTCAGAGCAGATTACATTTACAAACGCATCCAATTAATATAGCGTTGTTAATTTCATCTGCTGCTCGGAAAATGCGCTCTGCAGTTAGAAAATTAGAATGCTGCTTTTTTTTTCTAATTGCACAAGAGCGCGTTTTCAGAGCAGATTACATTTACAAACGCATCCAATTAATATAGCGTTGGTAATTTCATCTGCTGCTCGGAAAATATGCTCTGTTAGAAAAAAAAAGCTGCATTGATGCTGTTTTTCTTTCTTTTCTTTTTTTATTTTTTTAACTGCAGAACGCGTCTCACAGATAATTAGAATGCTGTGCATTCTATCACGCTAAAACGTGAAAGGTTTAAAAAAAGTCGGGCTCGGGTCGGGCCAGAGAATCCTGAAAACCTTTTCGGACCGGGTCGGGCTGGGGCTCCACCCCCTCGGGCCGGGCCGGACACGGGCTCAGATTTTAGGCCCGTGCACGGCTCTACTAACAACGATATCAGAGAGATAGGTTAACATCAGCTGAATGATAACTTTTTGCTAACGTTAGCATTGCTTCCTCAGTCAATAGCTAGCATGTATCCTTTAGCAACCCAAATGTTACATCACCTTCAGAGTAAAGAATGTACGCCAACACATACCATAGAAAACATTTGCCTTTTTATTACTGTGGCAGCTTATCCTGTGTACGTTGTTGATCGCTAGCCTCAGCAGGTCCTGCAGCGATAGCATAACAAAGCCTCGGGGAATGCTAACGTTAATGTGACCCAGAAATTATTCAGCCGGCTAAAAAGTCAGAAAGTGCGAAAACCAGGGATCTGTGCCATATAACCTAACTGTAGGTGCTGAATTCAAATTAACAATCTTTGCACTAATTTAGCATTTAAGGCACACACACTTTTTTAGATTACTAGAAATTAATTCAGTCAATAAGGGGTTAAGCACCATTTTAAAGGCTTTTGGGGGAATGATAACAAGGGCCAGCTCTGTCTAGTGAAACTATGTTTTTGTTCAGTGATGAATGGGTGAACCTACCTCGAGTAAAGGCTCTCTAGAAGAGATTGAAGAGGAACTCTGGTGTGAAGTCCATCCGACAGCCCCCATTCAGCCAGCAGGCTGTGATAGGCAGACACAACTGCAGGGCTCCACTTCAGCTCCTTACACCACTGCAGCGCAAACAGCAGCTCTGAAACTGCAAATAATAAATAATAAATAAAAATAAATACAACAGAAACTTCAATTATTAGGAGCAAAAAAGAAAACTCGATAACAAAAATGTTTTTAAATGTCTCATTCACTCGTTAAAAGTCCTAGCAAGTCGTTTTCAGTGAAAGAAAAGCTCTCCTGCTCCTGTTTAGGGAACTAGAAGTTTGTTGGAGGAGTGAGAACGACAGGATTATGAGTCTTATTAATATTAATGATATACAAACGCGCCTCTGATTGGCTAAGAACACTGAGACTCTTCCGCTGCTGCCTCTTCGTTTTCACCACTCGTAGGTCATACCTGTGTTTGTGAGGTTCGGTAGCGGTGAAGGACCATCCGCCACTCCTCGGTCACAGCGTGAGGCTGCAGCGATCTGGGCTACCTTTCCCAACAGAGCGCAGACACACAGGTGGGCAGGAAGCCTGTTTGACTCTCTAAACCTCCACGTTTCCCTGGAGGGTTTGTCATAAACTCCTCTGTGACGGTTGGACAGTAGAGGAGTTTTCACCCACTGAAGAAAACAGAAGAAAAGAGATGAATGAGTGAATGAAGTACTTCCTGTGCAAACCCAGAGTAAGGTTGTTCCTCACCTGAGGGGGCAGGACTTGTCTGATTCTGGTCCAATCCTCCTGGCTCGGTGTCAGCAGGGTAAAGAAGTGACTGAGGATGGGGGAGGTTTCGTCTCCTGCAGAGATGATCGTCTCCACTACGTTTTGCACAGCCGAGACTAAAACCTGCAAACTAGAGAAGCAACAATACCACTTTTTTCCAAACCGATACAATACCGATACTTAGATATGAGTACTCGTCGATACCGATATTTCTACCACACAAAAAAATGCAATGATTTGGAATACAGATTTTGTTTTCTTCTCTGCTTAAATAAAACAATAAAAAAGTTAAATATATGAATAGAAATCATCACAAAACTAAAATATTGGGTGAACAGAAACGACAAGTTACAGTGAAGCCATTTTCAAGCAACTACATTGGTATCGGCTCCTGGTATCAGTTAACTTTTACCGATAGGTGCATCCCTACTGCGAGCTAAAACAAATCTAGATATTTAAATGATCTCTCAACATGTTGGGACTAATTCTGACTCAAAGAAAAAAAAAGACGCTACCTTTTAATATCCAGCGAGCCCGTTAGTAGCTGCTTCACCACCCAAACTGCTGCACTGTGCAGGAAGCCACCTTCTCTCACCTCACATGTACAGTGCTGCACCAGAGACTGGACCCCAGCAACACACACCTTCTTCAGCTTCTCCAACAGCGATTCTATCAAAACAAAAGCTACGCAAGTTAGTTTTTAACTCTTTTATTCACGGCATACGTGCAGAGAGTGAGTGGGGACCCACCGGACAGGTGAGTGTGTCTTTGATCTTGAGCAATGAGCTGGAAGGCAGTGAGCAAGAGCTCCTCGGCTGAGAGCAGGAGAAGACAGTCTTGCACAGATGAGAAGAAAGACGAGGCCACGTCGCAGATGAAGGAGATGAGGGGCTCCATGTTGCCCGCATTGGACAGACTCTTGGTCTCAGAGAGAGTGGTGTGGAGCTTCTCTAAGATCTTCTCCATGTACGCCGGCCCTATTAGACACTCTTGAGAACATAAACGAGCAGCGTGGTTAGAGTCAGGAGAAAAGGAGCTTTCAATAAAACCATTTCTGGAGTCTGTGTCCACCGTTGTTGTGGTTCTGAGAGAGGACCAGGCTGATGAGCATCCAACTGTGGTTGCACGTGGACGAACGAGAGCTGCTGTCAATTTTGCAGAGCTCCTCTGTCAATCCCAAGAGTTGTTCACCAAGAACTGAGCCTTTCAGCCAATCACTGCAACTCGCGCAAGTCTGAGGATCTTTAGACGCCTGCAGAGCCGGACAGTGGATTAGTGGACGACGCACATTAATGGGAATGTGATTAAAAGTGAACGAATGACTTTTACCCTCTGAATAATCTGTAGGATGATTCCCGACTCCAAACCCATCTGAGAAGAAGAGCAGCGAATGTCAGCGAAAACCCCCTCCCGGCTCCAGAACTGTACCTGGATCCTTCACCAAGATTAAATATGCGGTTACCGTGGTAACGTGGTTGAGGAAGAGCGTGGTTTCCTGCCGGCTGCAGCAGCGCAGTGAGCTGAAGATCATCTCCACCAGGTGTTCGGTGTTGCTGCGCCGCACCACAGCCAGCCACACGACCACTCGCTTCAGCAGGAACCGCGTCACTGGGTTCTGATCCGGCCGGCATTCATCTTCTGAGATTCTTTCATCAAATTCATTTAAAGCCTGAGAAGAAGAACCAGAAAGAAAAATGAACACAATTAACTGGTGACAGTCAACACCACCAACCACTCTTATTTCACAGCAGCTTTGTCCTATCTTAAAAATAAGGAGGCACAATAAACTTTGTCAAAGCACCAAAAATATAATTTCCTGACTTACGCTGAAAACTCTGGGTGTGTGGAAGGACTGCAGGAGAAGTGAGAGGAAAACAAGGTGCTTCTCTGAGTTTTTCTCATTCACGTGCACCAGACAAAGCTGCGCCAGCTGGCACACGGCGTCTTCTAAATGCTGAGTCCGCAGGGACCCGGACGCTTCCTCCTTCACAAGCTTCTCAGCTTCACTCCCCTGGATTCCAGTCGTCTCCTCCTCCTCTGGCTTAGTCAAACACAGCCTGACAGATTTCTTTTTTGGGGGGTTTGCTCCGCTTCCTCTCCCAGGATAACGCATCACCTGGTCAGACACGAGGGAGAAAAGATGTGCAGCATCTCTTTCCAGAATCACGAGTATCTCCGGTAAGTCAACTCACATGCAGCAAGGTGGCAACACCTTCCAGAGCCCGTGGATCTGCCTCCTCAGTATCAACGAAACTCACAAGCAAAAGACCAACATCCTCCCAGAAGTCAGCCAGAAGTCTCTGAAACACACCCTTGCTGCTATTTTCCTCACTTTCACCGTGCAAACCCGCCTTTTTCTCCCAGGAAACGAGCATTTCAGTCACTAAATCGAAAAGAGGCCTGTGCTGAAGGGAATTTCTAATCCCCTTCTCTAGTAAAGGCAAAAGCTGCAAAAGAACAAAAAAATGTGAAAAATCTGAACTTGTTGGTATGAATTTAAATCAGGCAAAACGTTGCCAACCCACCTGCTGTGAAATAAGCATGGTCCTTATTTTCTCCTGGGAAAGATCGTCTCCTGTATTCTGCAGCATGCAGTACCTCAAGCACTCAACAACAGACGTCACGATCACAGCGCTCTCTGATGGGCTCGACACGGCGCGCTCACTAGAAAGACTGAACAAACGCACAAGAGAGGAGAAGAAATGCAAACATCGCTTACAACTAAAAGAGCCAAGTAAATAATACATTATTGGTAAATGGCCTGTATTTGATATAGCGTCTTCTAGAGTCCTGGAACCCCCCAAGGTGCTTTACAACACAATCAGTCATTCACACATTCACACACAGGTGGGGATGAGCTACGGTGTAGCCACAGCTGCCCTGGGGCGCACTGACAGAGGCGAGGCTGCCGAGCACTGGCGCCACCGGTCCCTGACCACCACCAGCAGGCAAGGGGGGTTAAGTGTCTTGCCCAAGGACACAACGACAGCGACAGACTGAGCGGAGCTGGAACCTGCAACCTTCCGATTACGGGGCGAGCACTTAACTCCTGTGCCACCGTCTCTTAACTACTTCTGTGATTGGGTTCTCATTCATTAAAGAGCACTCATCATATAAACTCACATTTTTGTGCTGCCGCGTGGGTCACTACTGCCTCCATATTACCCTAAACATAAAACACCCATCCATCCACTTCCTGTCAGTGTTTAGTTTAAGGAATTGTGTTCCTCAAAACGAGTCACTTCAAAAAGTTCCTGATTAGACTGATTTGTGAACAATGTTTGAGAGAAATGGTAATGTTGTGTACCTGGAATGAATTGTAGATCTTTACGTTCATCTCATGAAAAATCGGAGCAGAAACAAAGGTGTTGTGTTTATATTTTTGTTGAGTGTATTACAGAACAAGTTTTTCAATAAAATCAGAACATTATTATTTTAAGTGCATGAATTAATGCATCTGAACTCATGCAGTAGAAACTAGGAAACATGAAATACTAGAACCATTTTATATTCATTTGATTAAACTGATTTTTTCCTAACGTTGTTGACATTTTTCCCACACACAGTTAAACAAAACAATGTTGGTTGAGGTGTGTGTGTGTGAGAGAGAGAGAGAGAGAGAGGGGGAGAGAGTTAAAATCATTTTTAAAAAACCGACCGGAGCGGAGGCAGTGACCGACGAATGCACGAGCCGTTTTCAGCTCTGTCTTGTCAAATGCACCACGTACGTTACGAAAAAAGTAACTTTTAAATATTCTACCGAAAGAGAGGCGAGCTGAAGAAAACCTAGGGAAAAACTGAAGAAACGTGAGCAACAGTGAAGCAATCACAGAGAGATCCGTAACTGTCTGTGTGTGTGCGTGGATGCCTGGGCCGGACTGAGCTCCCGGCTGCAGAGTTTTGTATGTAGGGAGGGGCGGGCGCTCTATGTGACTGGCCAATCACAGAGCGTGAAGACAGTCAGTTAACCAATGAGGATTTTCCTTCAGCACGATTACAGATATTTACTAGTTTTGCTTGTTTCACGCTCGTATTCATCAAAAATGTTTTATCCGTACCGGATCCTGGGCTGCATGGCGGCGCAGTGGTTAGCACTGTTGCCTCGCAGCACGAAGGTTGCAGGTTCAAAACTCGGCTGCGGCCTTTCTGCGTGGAGTTGCGTGCTCTCCCCATGCATGCATGGGTTTCCTCCGGGTACTCCGGTTTCCCCCACAGATCACAACATGCCCTATAGGTTATACATTGTAAGTCGCTTTGGATGAAAGCGTCTGCCAAATAAATAAACATAAACATACATAAACTTGTCTGAAATGAGAATCTGGCTCATCCCTAGCTGTAACCACCCTGCCCTGCCTCCTCCTCCTTGCTGCCTGCCGGCTGTGATCACAAGCAACAACAGAGTAGTTCCCGCTGCTTCTTCGGGAAACGGCGCAAAAATAAATAAATAAACAATTTTTTTTTTAAATCAATCAAACTTGTGATCTTGTAGGCGTGGCGCTGGGATTTCAGCCGTGGCGGGCCGCCACGGCTACGAGTATGTAAGGGAAACACTGTCATGAACATGATTTGTATCAAACATAAAACCTATTATAACTTATAAAATGTCATCATATGTCTCCTTTAAACAGTCGTGTTTAAATGTTATGGTTGAGGAAAAGACATTTCTCTGATTTGACCTGGTCTCAGACAGGGACGGCAGCTCAAGCCCCTTTTCCAACACAACTGCCAAGCCAACAACAGCTCACTTCAGCGTAGCTGATTTTCCCAACAACTCCGACAAAAATAAGCCGCACTTGTTGGTGCACTCGTCATAGTTTTGCGTCTTTACTCAACACTTGAAAAATAGCGCAAGGCTATCTGCTCGTTACACAGAAACAACGGCAAAAGATAAGACCAGGAAGCACAAGACATCTTTTTTTACAGAAGATGTCACCAAAGACCCCAATCCCACTATTTTAGTAAACAAATGAAAGAAAAAGTTAAAGACATCATGGCAGCTCACTGAAAGCTAAACAAAGTATATCTGATCAGATCAGCAGACCTACATCTGTCTGAACATTTTACATAATTACAAGCACGGACACACTCAGACACAACTGACCCTTGCATTAATGCAGTGAAGAAGGTGGTGTAGAAGTCCAGGTTTGGATCAGTGACCTTCTGTGGCAGCTTACTGAGGAGCGGCATTAGATTTGGGTGGAGCGCTTTAGCCATGCCCTTACCCCCTTCCTTTAGCAGAGCCCAAAGTTTAGGCAGGAAACCCTTCTTGGCATTCACGTGTGTCCAGCAATCCTGAAACATTAGCAGGAAATTCCAAGATTAGATGCTTTTATATAAAAACTGGAACCCATCTTAAATAATTTCACAACTGAACTCTGATGTAATAAAAGAATGACTAAAATCAAGATGTGAATTTGATCATATTGAAGCGTACAGGGAGCGTAGACACAACGTGAAGAACGGCTTCCCACACAGGAGGCAGCACAACAGGATCCGTGTCGTCAATACTGAGGAGAACAGCCGGGCATAGCTGTGCTGCTTTGGCTTGAACCAGCCCAGGAGTGAACTCGCAGAGAGAGCAGACCATCTCAAAAAAGGCCCCTCTCACCTGTGGAGACCATTCAAACTAACTGGAACAATTACACACACCGACACCTTTTGGAAAATGCTAGGCTAGTTCACATTTGAGCGTCGGTTTCCTTGACGGAACAGCGTTACCTGTGGTGTTTTGTGTTTGCTGTACTTCCAGAACTTCCCAGAGCTGACCAAATGTTCTAGTTTGGTCTCAAAAGCTGTCCTGTCACTCTGAAGCAGCAGGGAAAGAAGTCTCTTCACCCCCAACAGGGAACTGGTCAGCATCCGTACATATTTGGCTTCCCGCTCCTCCTCTGTCACACTTCTAATCAACAAGTGGGGGAAACGAGGCCTCAGCAAGTTTTCCCAAATAATGTGTTGTTAACGAATACCCAGTGAGAGGGATGTTTACAAAAGCATTAAAAAATCAACTCTTTACATACTGCGGATCGCTGAGTGTGTCGGCTGTTTCTTTTAACAAAATATCTTGAAGTACCTGCAACCAAAATATCCCAAATTAAATGTAAGCAATAGCGAACTCCTCGACTCTAATGGGCAACACCTCTACTCACATTTAGGATTTCATCCTTGCAGAAGCCAAGGGCTTCGGGCTGTTTAGCGGGTGAGAAGGCAGCCTGGAAGGCCCGGCATGCAGCAGAGGCTGCAGGTGTGTAGGTGTCGCACTGGGACAGGATCCAGTGGCCCATCAGACTCTTCAGAAAGGGGGCCAAGCTGCGGCGCACCTTTAGCACCAGCTGCTCAAAGGCCAGCTGGGTGGCTTCTCTGATGCGGCGATCGTGATCCTGAGGTTCATTTCAAAACAACATCAATAAAGTCAGGCTGTTGATTTCCAAAGATGTTCTTTCTTTAACATGATTAAGACATGTCTGACCCAGTGAAGTTGTTTTACTGATGCTCAAACAGCTCACCACTGATATCTTGCAGTAAATTCTTGGCCAGTAGGGCAGGACTCCTTTCACATCTTCAGCGTGTCGTTTCTGACACATGGACCCAAAGTCTTGGACAGCCTGGATTTAACACAGTGTTACACACCTGGACTCAGATCAGGTCGGATTATTTAAACCTGAATACTATGAAGTGTTAAGAAGTGACAATACTGCATCAACTGTGAGCTCACTTTCAGTCTAGTCACAACATCCCTCTTGGAAAGCTTCCTGAGCACCAGACGGAAGTCCGCATCCACCAGGTTGTCTATCTCCTCCACTCCGTGGACAGCTGGAACATAGCTGAGCTCAGAGGTGACGGTGGAGTCAAACCCCACGAAGCCTGGGATCACACCACCCTCCCGGGTCAGAACCTCAGCAGCCCGGCCGCTGCTGGACGGCTGTTTGAAGAGCGAACACGCGGTTTTGAGGGAAAACGTAAAACAACATGACGCTTACTGGCTGTATTTTTCTGTGGTAAAACCACGTAGCGTTACCTGACATGACGTTTACAGTGTAGCTTGTGCTAACTCGGTTTGATGCTAACGCTATTTAGCATTATAAATGGCGTACAGGTATTGGTAGCGACTTACCCGAACGTTTCCTTTTGTTCTCTGTTTGTTCTTGCCCCCCATGGTTAGGTTTTTATAGTTTTAACAAAATACAACTTATAAAAACTATTTTCTTCACCATTTCTCATAGCTACATCCGAGTAACTCAGAATAGTCGGACGTTACGTCACTCTCAACGTTTGCTTTTTTCACTCCATAAAGTAGGAAAGAAACGCTTCTGTTGTTTTTCTACAAGGAAGAAAGTTATTTGTGGCAAGAACTTTAAATTATTTTAATAGTTTGTATGAATTCGTGTTTTTTGATTCAATAAATAATAAAAATAAATGTCTGAGTCTAAAATGTGGTTTGAGAATCTGATTTTCACTAGTCAGCAAATGAAAATTCCAAATTTCCAATGAGCCACAAAGGTAACACAGGCCCGTGACTCTCAAACTTCCCGTCCACACCTTTCAAAGTAAATCGTCTTTTAAAAAACATCGTTTGAAATCACTAGCTAGATAGAAGTCGTTCATAAATCATTATACTGCTGCAGTTCATTCTAACA